CAAGCACGGCCTGGCATCACCGTTATTCTAAGACAAGGCAAGCATCAGAGCGTGAGGTGCCAGGACGACTTGCCGTGCTTACAAACGAAGCTTTCACTTCCATGTGGGGTTGCAGGTACATCGCATCGACAACCGGCCTCCACTTCGCAGCATCACGTTTGAATTGAGCTCCCGGAAACCACGCGGGAATATGTTGAACTGAAACACGCATATTAGGCTTGCCCGAGGCCTACGAGATAGTGGACTCACGTATGGGAAGAGAATCAGCTGCGATAAAGTGAATCATGCAGAACGTCTTATGAGGATCAAGTGACATTACCAAGATATGCCCCTGCGACAGTGATTTTTGAAAACACCTGGACGCTCTCTTCTACGATTGGAATGAGAGGGTCATCTTCAGGTTTTACTTCTATGCCGTACACGATCCTCAAGATGTTGGATCCTGCCATACTAGTCGGCATAGTGAAAGTGAAAGGCCCACTCGGAAGCGAAAAACATAAGTACTTACTGGCGAATGTGTTCCATGAACCGGCCTGGTGTATCACGTAGTGCAAGTATCATCTCATGCACTGACTTGGCCGACGAAGGATAATACTTAGAGACGGCGGCAGGCCGAAAATATTGGTGGGAGAGCCTGCGGTGCGCCCTCCAGTAGTCGCCATATCCCATCAGAGCGAAACTCCTGTTCCATCCCGTCCTAAGGAGACAGACCGTGAACGCAGCGATTGAGGACAAAACTGTAGCACTCACAGCTTAACCATCGGCGAATCGATCCTGTAGCCATGAGCCATCAATTTCGTGCACACGATGTGGGCAAACATTCTGACACTCACTTATCAGAGTATATGTTCGATCGTTTCTCGAAAAGGTCAACTGTAGCCTTTGCGGAGTTCAGGACAACGTAGTGGGTCCCAAGGATCTCGAAATGTACGACGTCCGAATCTGCAAGGAACCCAGATTAGCATAGATATCATACCGAATGCGGCGTGAAGGGGATACCATATTGACGACTCCAGTCCTGATATGCCAGCCACTCGAATGATTTCGGTGCGTTGAAGACGTTGCCGAGAATCGGTAGCCCTTTGGGGCCGGGTGGGAGACGATATTTGACTCGTCGCCGGCTGAAATACAGCAGGAGAAGGAGGATCTCGAAGGCAGCCAGCAGCATCGGCGTTGAGAAGATGGACATGGCCATAGATGGCTTGCAGTGACTGGGCGCAAGTTAGGGATGACTTAAGTACACCAATGACACTGCGCTATCGGTGAGAGTTGACGGATACCGCGAATGGCCGGAATTCGACGAAGGCCAGACGTATCACAGGACCATGAGTATGATATACAACTCCCTCCCGCTAGCTGAACCTTCACCCGCATATATCACATAGACTCGCCGGTCAGGTCAGGTCCGGTTGTTGCGCTCCATGGAGACCATGGGCGGGCAATGGCGTCTTGCGTCCTTTTCAGCGAGGGATATGATGTAAAGACGAGCCTATACCACGGCTACGAATGTTCGCTATTCCTAAGCAAGGCAAATTCACTCAGCGTAGCGTGGAAGATAGCTTCGACAATGACGCCATGGCACATGCCATCGGTGTAACCCTGTGTAACCTTGACTGATTTTTGGCAGTGAATTAGTAAGAGCTGCGGCCCGGCAATTGCGATCAAGTTTGGATCGCCCCTTGTACTGTTCAAGCCCCTCGACTCTCGTAGTCCTACAGGGTGAGTGGATGAAGGGTCATTTAGCAGATCTGCCAAGGCGCCGGCGGGTTGGCAAGGTTTGATGCGCCCTTCCAGATCAGGTCACGGAACTCGAACCTTGCAAGAGTTTTTCATGCATCTTGTTCCTCGGCGATATAACTCGGCTTGGTGCACATTACCCTATGTAGGTAGCACTTTAAACCCCGAGAGAAAAAACATATGACCCAACTTATCTTATTTGCAAGGAGCTATATGCCAACACCACGCTTCTCCTTCAAGTTGACTGTGTACCAGATGGAACCCTCAGGTAAGAGGGCACATGCCACATCATGTGGCGGCGATGATCGGGCCATCGATGCTATATAGCTGCGTAACGAAGTAACCCGTAAGTACTATCGAGCTCTAATACTGTTAGCACTGACGAGGCGGGCACCGCGTTGACAACTCACCCCAGTTCTCTCCACTTACCTCCCTCTGCGCCACGAAGTCTAGGGGCCATGCATCACACGGACGAGTGAACCATGTTGTCCTCGCACCCAATCACGAAAAAGCTTTCGAGTGCAGGTGATATCGATTGAAAGAAATGTCCTAGTACACATGAGGGAGTCGGAAAGAGAATTAGTGTACAACTACTAATGCAAATAGGAAGAGAAAATATGGAATGAAAACAAGTGCGTAATTAGATGAGTGCGACAGCGAGAGGAAAGCATACGGAAAGACGACGATGCAAGAGAAAACAAGCAAAAGGAAAGAGAACGATGCGGTTTTACGCGAAGATCGAGAACTTGAGCATGAGCTGGCCGTCCTGCTCGACGGGCTCGCACATGATCTTCTCCATGTTCTCAACGAGGTGGTGCGCGCCGCAGTTCTCGATCTTGGAACGCTCGTGGCTC